GACTCGCTTGAGCCTAGGAGTTGGAGGTTGCTGTGAGCTGTAATGCCACAGCACTCTACCCAGGGCAACAGCTGGAGGCTCTGTCTCAAAAAAATAAAATAAATAAAAGCCATCCCAAGCCCATCTTCCCAGCAGACATGCCACTCCACAATGTGGGCTTTACATGTTGAGAAATGGAGGACTGGGAAGGCTCACTGGCTTCCTCAAGGGCCCCAGCCAGTCAGGAGTAAAGAAGGGACCAGAAAGCAAAACTCTCACCTCTCCCTCCCAGAGCTGGGCCCTCTGCTTACCATGCTGTTAGTGAATATGTTCACTGCAGAGGCAGACTTGACCTCCTTGATTCTGGTGGTGGGTTTAACTGAATTCCTCAGGTCAGGGACAGAACTGGAGTGCCTCACAGATGTAGGCTTGGGGGAAAGAGGACCAGCCTCCATCTTGGGGGCCTCCTGGTGGCAGCTGCGGTCTGTTTCATTTTGCGTTTTGTCTTGGACACTCAAGGGCAAGTCAGGTGTGCAGGACACCAGTGTCAGTGGCCGGAAGTACTGGGAAGGAGAGCAAACACACAGCCCATGGGAGCCCAGCTCGGCCCACTTCCAGGTAGTCTGCATCCACAGTTAGGTGCAGGTGAGGAGAAGAAAAGCCGTTGATATCAAAGCCTGGACTCTTAACCCGAGGTTCTAGGACCCATAGAGGGCTTCAGGGGGGTCTTTGAGCCACTTGAAAGTGCACTTTTAAAATTGTGCATTGTGTACTTTATGGCAAGAGATTCCATAGCTTTTATCAGAGTCTCAAAGGGTCTGTGACTGTAACAAAGTTAAAAAGGAAATAAACAAACCCTGCTCTGATCCTGTCTTTTCAGGTGCGCCTTTGAGATAAAGGAGATGGACGGACAAGTCAACCAAATCTTTCCACTGAGCTAGATGAGAGCACTGGGCAGAGATGGGGAAGCCAGACTTAGATCACAGGCCAAGTGAACTGCTGACCCACAGCCTTGGCTATTCCTCATTTTGCACAGATAGCAGGTTGGAAGGACCTGCTGCCATGGTCGGCCATCCCATGTGATGTTCAGAGAATTCCCAGATGCTCTTCCCAGTGGCCTGCTCTTTTGGCTGTGCCCCTGGCCTGCTGGAGGGGAGCGTTCCAACACAAGCAGGAACCAAAGACCACTCCTACGTGCAGTCCTGGAGCCTGCTCTCTTAGTGAGGCTCATGCCCAGCCTCCCAGCACGGGCTGCCTGGCTGCTTTTATTCCTACTAGAGGAGGCAAGTAGGCAGACCAGTGACAGTTCCCTACTACCTGGATGCAGGGATCCTCCAAAGACAATAGCATATGTGCCTTTGGGGTTCCCCTCCTGCTGCCCACCCATCTGCACAGCCCTTCAGTGTGTCTGGGCTCCAAGCAGTGGTCTCCTCAGGAACCCCCCACGGATTGGCCCCAGCTGGGGAAGGGTGCTAGGCACGTGTGCTCCCCTCCCGTCCGGGTTTACTTGTTTGAAGGTGACACGGGCAGCAGCCTTGTGTTTCTGTTGCCAGCTCCTCGCATTCTTGCGTTTGGCCTGCTCGCCTACTGATTCGCCCTGCATCTCTACCTTCTTCTCCTTGGTTGGCAAAGATTTTTTCTCCTGTTTTAGTTTCAGCTCCTGGATCAGTTTCCTGTCCACAGAGGAACAAGTGAGTGTCACGAGGTCAGGGACAGGCTGTGCAGGTAGGCGTTCTCCCTGAGGGATGGGCCAGCCTGGGCGGAGTGGTGGAACGCACCAAGCTCCCTTCTAGTCTGCGCAAGTGATTGAAGGTCAAAGAGCAGGGTGCGTAGAGAAGAGTCATCCCTCCAACAAAACTGTCACCAGTCTGGGTAACAGCATCCAAAGAGAGATGCTACCTCCTCCTCCATCATACCCTTTCTCCCCCCATCAACTTCCCAACAGGCCAGTTCCCAACCATGGCAAGTGCTGGGAAGAGGGTCTGCAAAGGAAGCTAAAGCTAGGGGTTCCCATGTTGGGCCACTTCATATGCTGGGCTTCTCTGGCCAATGGGCCCCAAGAGTGACATATATAGTGGAAATAATTTGGTCTCATGAGTCACGTGACAGGGATGGTTCTAGTCCCTCTTCTGTCATAATCTTTCCATGTGATCCCCTTTCTGCTCTGACCTCCCATTCCATAAAGTGAGTTGGGGAGCGGGGACTGGACTCTATGAGATGAATCCATCCAACTCTTAGATTTTATGCCTGTGTTGAATCCATGAGGCAGCTCTGAGGCAGTGGGCATCCTGGAGTGGGTTTCTAGAAATAGCTACCTTTCTTTACCCTACACTAGGGAATCTTCCAATGCCTGGTCCTTGTAAGACCAGAGCAAATGCTCCCCTGGCAGCTTCCAGGTTAGGGACCACAGCTCTGAGACTATCCCCCAAGCACCCCGCCCAGCTCATCCCAGAGCCCTTCCTACCGGGCATACACCTCCCGGGCCCTAGACGCAGCGGTATTCTGGAAGACAGAGCTGTTGTCCTGGAAAAATTTCTCATACTTCTCTGAGTTTGGACTGGGATAGATCAGTCGAAACCCTCCACAGTGTTCCTTCTCATACTTCTCAGTTTTTTGTAACCATGTGGCCTGGTAACCCTTGGTTTCCTCAATCCTGTTGGGAAGCAGAACACAGGGCCACAGTTCAGTTTTATTGGGACAAAGCCTGGAAGGGACACATCCAAGCTGGAGGTCTTCTAGGGCCACATGGAATCCTTGTGCATAATAGGAATCAATCAGTATTTCCTAAATAAATGCATGAACATTTCCCTAAAAAGAAACCTGGGATGGCTGTTGTCATAATGCAGGAAGAGCTGATTAGAACAGATATATATATATTTTTTGACAGCACACCAGATTCTCTCCTGTTACAAGTAAAACCTGTTTTTCCCTCAGCTCAGTTCTGCCCAGGCAGACTGTCACCACCTTCCCATCCACAGCCCCGATCACCCTCTCTGGAGAATGACAGCTTGTGTTTTGCTAAATTTGAGGGCTTCTTGGATGAGCTTGATGAGCCTTTACCAGCTGTCATGATCTCATTCTTCCTCACAGCCCCCCAGGGAGGTGGAGGTCAGGTTGGGAGGAATGATAGGCTTCCTTTTACAGCAGGGAAACCAAGAACCACTTAGACATCCAGGGCCCAATAAGGAGGAGACTGGTTCAGAGAAGGCCCTTACCCTGATGGGTGCTCCTTAATACGGTGCTGCTTCCTTCTCGAGAGGAATTTAGAAATGGCATGGCACAGTGGAAGGGATCCTGGAATTCCAGGCCACAAATCCAGGCCCTGGGCTCCGGATCCAGACCTGTCACTTACCAGTGAGGTGACCTGGTGCAAGTCCATTCCATCTCTGAAGTCTTGGTATCTTGCCTTCCAGAACAGGACCACACACCACCCCATCCTCCCTCCCTCCCTGCTCCTTATAAGGAAGACAGTGCAGGTGACAGTGCCTGAGAAACACAGTATTATCCAAACAACTGTAAACGTTATTTATGGCACCTGTTCCAGAAACTCAGACCTGAAGGATGAGGCTGGCTCTGCTCTGGAGAGGGTGCTAGAAGAGAGCAGGGGGCTGTGTTGGGATCATAAAGGAACCAAGATATCTCCTTGACCAGGCTCAGAGTCTCTGACACTAGGATGACCCCACAAAGTGAAGACTCTAGTTCCACGGTAAACAATGCTGAGCAGAAGCAGGGAGACACCACCACCTGGCAGCACTGGAGCATGGGGTAAGGAGCAAATCCTTCTCTTCAGTAAAAATAAAGGAATGGCTTTTTATTTAGATCAATAATTCTTTTCGTGTTTTGTTTTTTTTGGGGGGGGGGCAGACAGTGTCTTGCTCCATCATCCAGGCTGGAGTACAGTGTCAAAATCATAGTTCACTGAAATCTCCAACTCCTGAGCTCAAGCTTCCTCCTGCCTAAGCCTCCTAAATAGCTGTGATTACAGGTGCACATCACTGTATCCCACTACTTCTTTTTTATAAGAGATATCCCACCACATCCCACTACTTTTTTTTTTTTTTGAGGGGCCTTGCAGGGTTGCTCAGGCTGGTCTTGAACTCCTAGGTTCAATCAATCCTCCTGCTTCAGCCTCCCAAAGTGCTGGAATTATAGATGTGAGCCACTGTGCCTACCCTGGTAATTATTAAATCTTCATATGATATGAATCAATTGCTATCCATTACATATATAATTATATGTCTGAAAATTAACCTCCTATTGCTAGGAATGAAGGAATATTCAAAGTAAAACCGTTCAAACTGCTACATTCTGCAAATAGAAACCCATTTTCCAAACAGAATTATCATTTGTTAGAAATGATCTCCCTCTCCCAACTCCAGACAAGATTCTTAATAGCCTCTAATGTAAATAATCATGCCAGACACTATGCTAAAACGTTTCTATGCATTATCCCGTTTAATTCCCCCAATAAGCTTATATATCATTAGCTCCATTACACAGAAAGATCACTGAGACTCACAGAAGTGGCAGAAAGAACACATAACTAGAAGGCAATTGAGTCACAACTTGGACAGGCCAATCTTGTTTGGGTAGGGAAGTCAGAGAACCAGGGCCCTGGGAAGCTAATGTACCTGATCTCCCGAGAACGACACTGCTGCAGAAACCGCCCTCGTTGTTTCTCTTTCTCCAAGACTTTCTTTTTGTCACAGTTTCTTAGGTTGATCAGAACCAAGGTGTCATATAGCAGGTTGTCCTTCACCTCTTTATCCAACCGGGAGTCAGTGGAGAAGCTTGGAGAGTGGTTGACCTGTGAGGGCAAGGTGGTAGCTGGAGACAGGGCTGTCCAGCATGAAAGCAGGCAGTGAGCCCAAGATGCCACCTCCAGGCTGCTGCTGAAGCCCACCTCAGGGCCCTGGCTACCAAGATGAGTGGAAGGGAGAGGAGGGAGCATCTGGACTGGTGCCAGAGGGAAAAAAGGAGGAAGCGGAATTCCCTCTAGTTAAACCAGCTTTTATCTCAGTTCCTTCTTCTTCGGAAGCATCAGAGGTTGGCCTCTCTTTGGCATGTGTGTTCTGCTCCATCTCAGAGAACGAGTGTTCTCTCACGTGCACTGAGCATTCCACAGGGCAGGATGGAAAGGGCAGGCTGGGAGGCGGGGAGGAGAGAGGAGGGATGCATTCCAGTCATAATTTGGACCAGGACAGGCCAGTCTTATTGGGATCAGGGAAGTCAGACCCCAAGAATGTGGTCCCTGGGGTCCAAAGGGTACAACTACACCTGATCTCTCAAGAGGACCAACACTGGTGGGAGAACAGGGACCACCCGGGATGGAGGGGAGACAGGTGGGAGGAGGGCAAGGACTCGCTTCTGCCCACGGAAAAGTCTGTATTGTTCAGAGGCACTAGATAACAATTTGTAAATTTCTAGCAGTTTCTTTCTTTCTTCTTTCTTTCTCTTTCTTTCTTTTTTCTTTTTCTTTCTTCCTTCCTTCCTTCCTTTCTTTCTTTCTTTTTTTTTTTTTTTGAGACAGTGTCTCATTCTGTTTCCCTGGCTAGAGTACAGTGGCCTCATCATGGCTCACTGCAACCTCGAACTCCTGGGCTGAAACCATCTTCCTGCCTCAGCCTCCCGAGTAGGTGGGACTACCTACAGGCATGCTCCACCATGCCTAGCTAATTTTTAAATTTTTGGTAGAGACAGGGTCTCACTACATTGCTCAAACTGGTCTTGAAATCCTGGCCTCAAGCTATCCTCCTACCTCAGCCTCCCAAAGTGCTGGGGTTAAAGGCATGAGCCACCATGCCCAGCCTCTCTAGCAGTTTTCGAAGACTTGCTCCTAGCGGCTCATTCTGCTCTCTGGGTGAGAGCTCCAGGCAGCCTTACCCTCTTCCCATTTTACCTGGGAATAAAGGCCGGGCATGGGGGAAGGGTGGAGCACAGGAATCTGATCTCTGAAGTCTATGTCACAGGCACCCTTGCACCCTTGCTCTCTGAAAGGCTGCTGGAGAGGGTTCCTGAGGGCAAGTCCAATCAGAAAGAGAAGCAGCCAGCTGGAACACTTCCCTTTCTTCTACCACTACCTCGTGGGTCTGGGGGAGGCAGGAAACTTACTGGGTATCTCCCCCTCCTATTTCTGAGGCAGCAGACACCGTCCCCTCCCTATTAGTACTTAGAACCAAGTCATCCAGGCCCCTGAGAGCCAAGCACAGCAGCTCCTATCTGATACTGAACATTGTTAACCTACCTTTGATGAAGAATATCCCCTTTTTAGGAGACAACTCTGTCACAAAGGAAAGAGCTGTCTTTAGAATCACCCTGTGTACTGAGATCAGTGTTTCCAAGACTGGGTGGACCTCAAGAAGGCACAGGAATTCTCTAATTCCCAGCTGTCTACCCCCCTCTGGTGGCCACTTCTCAGCCGGACGTAAAGCCCCAGGCAGCAGGCACAGAGGAGGAAGTAACCCAGGAAGTTGAGTACAATAACCTAGGTGAGACTAGAAGAGTCCCTGAAGCTGACTGACCCTCATAATGGGGTCAGTTTTCCTGCCTCCCCCAAACTTCCCTACCTCTAGCAGCCAAGGTTTGAGTTTTCGGTCCAGCAGAATGTCAAAGCCCAGGATTTCAAAGCAGGCGCTGTTGACAGTGTGATTGGGGAAGCAGGTGTGGTAGTTGTGCTTGATGGTAGGCTGGGCCGAGATGATCGTCTTGACAATGACATCCTCGATGTCCCTCCATATCTGCTTCACGTCGTAGCTGTGCTTCTCCATGTATACGTTGAAGGTAGAGAGCTTTCTGGAAGGGGACCACAGGCCGTGAGGCAGGACAGCAGCCTCTGGTCATCCAAGGCTGGAAACCCTCCAGAGCCAGTGGGTTAAGTGCCCAGGTGCCAGGTGACACTAGGGCTGTGTCAAGGGAGAGGAGGCCTTCAGGAGTCACAAGGCCATGCCCAAGCCTCCAGAGCCCGGGGATGGATGCAGATATAAAGTCACATAGGAAGGACATGACCTGTACATTTTCACTATGACCTTGAGAACACCTGTGGCCAGGGGAAGGGTTGAGTATCACAGGTGGAAATAAACCACCGTAGCCCGGGCACAGTGGCTCACACCTGCAATGCCAGGACTCTAGGAAGCCGAGGTGGGCAGATCGCCTGAGCTCATGAGTTTGAGACCACCTCAAGCAAGAGCGATACCTAGTCTCTAAAAAAAAAAAAAAAACTAGCCAGGCTATGTGGCAGGTGCCTGTAGTCCCAGCTACTCAGGAGACTGAGGCAAGAGAATGGCTTGAGCCCAGGATTCTGATGTTGCTGTGAGCTATGACACCATATCACTCTACCAAGGGTGAACAAATGAGACTATCTCAAAAAAGAAAGAAAGAAACCACCCTGTATTATGGGTTTTGCTCTGGGGGCAATGGTTTCTTAGCCTTCAGTGTATATCAGAAACATGTGGAGAGCCTTTTGAACATACTGACACCCAGGTCCCACCTCAGCCATCTGATGGGATCCTGGGGACACTGAAGACACAGAAATCTTGTTTAAAGGCTGCATATGAGAAAAAGGCAGTCTCAAGGCATTTCCACAGATAGGGTTACCAAATGCCCCAAGGAAACTGGACTGTCCCAATTTTAGAACTGTAAGTCCCACATTCTAGGAAACTCCTCAGTCGCAGGCAAAAGAAAAGTCACCCAATCACAGAGGAAATCAGAGGAGGGGCTCGTGAGGAATATCTGAGAAGATACTCTAGTCAGCTCTGAGCTGGGCAGCACAGACAGAGGAATAATCTGACAGATCCCAGAGGCCATGTCCACACACGCATGTGCACAGAGAACTGAAGTCAGAGCAGAAATACGGAAGCAGAGAGGAAGATGAAGAAGACAAGAGACATGGCTCATCCAGGCAGTTTGGAAAGCTCACTGGGCCCAAGCCAAAGGAGTCTAAGGCGACGAAGCAGAGTCAGCTAGTCAACGAGCATTTGCTCAAGGCCTGCTGTGCATGCAGTGTCATACGAGGAGGGGACACCTAGAAACTGCCACCTGTCATGAGAAGCCTAAAGACCATTTGGGGAGTCAACATAAATATGAAACATCCACAGACGCATGTATATAAAGACAGACAACACAGGCCACTCGATATGGAGGCCACCTCCTCTACCTGCCATTGTCAGGGAATGGGGTATTGCACATAAATGGTTTTTCTAGATTGTTTGAAGCTGATCCTTTAAAGTGGAAGAAAATGTATCTAATTTTTCTAATTGGGAAATCAGTTTTCCTGAAAGAGATGATCTACTTCCCTGACTTCTTATAATAGATGTTACAAAACATAACATAACCTTTTCCTGATGACTCAGGGCCCATTGCAATGAATATGTGTTATTGCATAATTTATAATGCCCAGTGGTTAGTCAACTCAATTCAACATCAGCCATGTGCTGGGCATGTTGAAAGATGAAAATGGCCTAGTGTCTTCCCCAGTGTCCCTCCAAGTTTTCCGTTTTTCTCTCTTCCCTTTCGCTATGACCAGAGCACTACTCCTATGAGTTTGCACCCCAGTGGGGGATTGACTGAGAGGGCACTTGGCCTCTGCTGCCGACTTTGGGGCAGATGAGACAGGATGAGAAGCAGAAAGGAAAAAAGGAGAGGAAAAAGAAAAGAACTTTTCCTAGCAGTATGAGAAGCACCCTGAAGGTCAGGGCACCATTCTGACCCTTGGGGAGCTAAGTACAACTGGGCACTCCAGACAAACATGCCACATAGAGCAAAGAACAATTATGGGCAAAACAGAAAGAGCATCTAAAGACATTCTCCCATGCTTTTGGTTGGAGCTGAGCAAAGACAGAGAGGTAGGAATGAGCAAGAGCTGAGCAAAAGAAAGCATCCTGGCAGAATCTGACGGAGTGATCAGCATGGGCAGTACAGCTTAGCAGGTAAGAGCACAAACTCAGGAGCCAGACAAATGTGCATTGGTTTCAACTCCAGCTGTATCATTTCCTAGCTGTGTGACCTTTGGCAAGCTACTTAACCTTTCCACACCTCAGTTTTCTAATACGTGAAGTAGGGATGATAAAAATGCCTATCTCATAGTCTTGTTATGAAGATTCAATGGTTTAAAGTATGTAAATTGCCTAGAGCAGTGCACGGCATCTAGCTGGCGCTCAACAAATAAAATGTTGACTATTAGTGGAGTAGCAATAATAGTGGAAATTACAGTGGCCTGTGCAGAGGAGTTTGAACTTGATGCTCTGGCTACCTGAGAGTCACATCAGTTACCTGAGAGTGGGAGCAATGAGTGTACAGAATGTACGATACCAATGGACCCACTTGTGTAGGGTTGTTGTTTTGGACATTCATTCATACACATACTCTCACTACCTCCAGCCAGCACATCTGTGAGGCAGGCAAGCCACAATTTCTTCTTTATCATGTCATTTTAGAGATGAGAACATGGAGGTACAGAGAGGTTATGCAGAAGGACCTGGAGAGGTCCAGGGGAGAAGATCAAGGAGGCTGGTGTGCCCTTTGGGACTGAGCCTAAATGGGGGCCTGGGCCTGGCAGGAAGGCAGAGAACATCAAAGGAGGAATCTTGAAGACTGACTGAGTCCCTAGAAAACAAAATGTACACGCTCCCCAAGACTGGAGAAGGTAGAGATGAAAAGTTGGGTGAGGAGGCTCAGCGCCCATAGCACAATAGTTACAGTGCCAGCCACGTACACTGACGCTGGAGGCCCAGGCCAGCCAAAACAGTGACAACTGCAACAAAAAAATGGCTAAGTGTTGGCTCAGTGCCTGTAGCTCAAACGGCTAAGGCCCCAGCCACATACACCAGAGCTGGCGGGTTTGAACCCAGCCTGGGCCCGCCAAACAACAATGACAACTCCAACCAAAAAATAGCCGGGTGTTGTGGCAGGTGCCTGCAGTCCCAGCTAGTTGGGAGGCTGAGGCAAGAGAATCACTTAAGCCCAAGAGTTGGAGGTTGCTGTAAGTGGTGACACTCTTGCACTCTACCCAGGATAACATAGTGAGACTCTGTCTCAAAAAAAAAAGAAAGAAAGAAAGAAAGAAAAGTTGGGTAAGGAGACCAGTTTGGAGTGCTGGGGAAGAAGGAGAAAGGATGCATCCAGGTTGGGAAATGCTGAGTTGGAAACAACAGGGCGATGTCCAGGTGGGGCTGAGGAGAGATGGGCCTGCAGCCCAAGGCAGAGAGGCTGAGCCAAATGAGGGCAAGCAGAGGTTGTGGGGACAGATGGAGGGTGGGTAGAGAAGGAGGAGAAGAGAGGAAAGAAGAAGAGGGTTCGAGGGCAGCAGAGCTATGCTTCAAGTCTGCAACCTCACCTTAGTCCTGCCACCCCTGTACCACTCCCTCCATCACTGCCTCAGGACCTGGAGCCTGTCAGTTCTCTTCAGAGCAGGGAAGTGAGGACTCTTCCATCACATGCCCTTACACTAAGGAAAAATATCAGTAACCACAACCACTGTCCCTGCTGCCATCACAGGTCATTTGAGCCTCACAGGGACCTCTGATGTAAGCGGGGCAGGGCAAGAAGTCTTATCACCTTATACAGACCAAGAAATGGAGATTTGGAATGATAAAGTAACTTGTCCATGCTTGCTTGGCTGGCAAGGATCAGATTTAGGACTAGAAAACAGGCCTTGCTGAGCACCAGCGCTCAATATGCAACAATGCCAGGGGCTCAGCTGGGGCTGCAGTCTAGGTGGGGAGAAGAGGAAGTGGGAGAGCTTCAGGCAACACAGGGGGCTGGTGTCCTCTGGAAATGGGGGAAACTGACCCTTCCCATCCTCACATGTTGTCTTCTTGCAGGCTTACCCTGCTGATTTTCTATGTGCCATTTGGAATTTTGCCACTGAGGATGTTTATGAAATGTCACATGCTTCTCTGATGCTCTGAAGCCAAACTGATGGCTTTCTCGCCTATCCTTTGATGCCTGCTACCGCAGAATGAATGAAGTCATGGGGTCTGACAGATCTAGCTTCTCGACCCACTCAGAGCTGCGTGACCCAGGGCAACAGACCTAACCTCTCAGAGACTCAGTTTCCTCACCTGTGAAAGGGAGATAGCACCTAACAGTTCTCCATCCATAAATGGGAAGATAATAATGCTTTTGCCATAGTGTTGTGAAAATCCAAGAACAGATGCACCCCCAGCACCTGGCACAGGCCCCAACACACAAGAGACCCCAAAAATACTTGTCCCTTTCCCTTTTGCCCCAGGCCTGAGCATGTTCACATTTCCCCTTTTTCTAAAACTCAAATAAAATCCAATTAGACAATAACATGGATGGAAAACCACTTGTGAAGATGCTCTGACGAATTTCTCATTTTCCCTCTTTCTGGGGACTCTTAAAGCCAGCAAGCCGCACATCAGGGCACCATGACACATCCTTTGAGAATCTCTAATGGAGCAACACCCTGGCCAAGGAACTGCACGGCAAGTCCTTCTTACAATCAATCAATATTTTTTGATTTGGAAATGTCTGAAGGGCCAACTTGTAATAAGGATATGTTTTGTAGTCCGTATGTATTCTGCTGGGGAAATGGCTCGTGTTTATCTCTCCTCCTCCCAGCCTCCTAGGGTTTACGATGTGGCCTTCTTTTAATGATTAACAGCCCAGAGATGAAGGAGTCTGCTCTGGGTTGAGAGGCAAAGGAGAATTTTTTGAGACCATGTGACCCAAGATGGAAACACTGATGGGGACGGAAAGGGTTTGGGTAGAATCCCAGAAAGCAGCTGTGAGGCTGGCAGGGAAAGGACAGAAAAGTGAAGCGACTTCCTTACCTCTTGCTGCCAGAGTGAGTGTCTCGACTGAAATTGGAACTGTGCTTGTTAATGGAATAATTAGTCAGGTGCATGCAGATATCATCCTGGGGAAAGAGACACAAGTCTGTGGGGTCAGGCTGGAAACTTGGGCCTCCTGCTTCCCCTCTGTGCCCTTCTATGGCCCCTTGGGTTTAAAAAGATGGAAAGAAGGGGAAGTCTACTTGAACTGGCAAAATAGAGGAAGTTAGAAGGGGTGTCCTGCAGCCTGCAGTGTAAGAAACTCTAACTCTGGCTGGGCATGGTGGCTTGCTTGTAATTCTAGCACTCTGGGAGGATGAGGCAGGTGGATTGCGTGAGCTCAGGAGTTGGAGACTAGCCTGAACAAGAGCAAGACCCCCATCTCTACTAAAAATAAGAAAAACTAGCCAGGCATCATTGTGCACACCTGGAGTCCCAACTACTCAGGAGGCTGAGGCAAGAGGATGGCTCAAGCCCAAGAGTTTGAGGTTGCTACAAGCTATGATGCTATGGCAATGGTGCTCTACCCAGGGAACAGAGTCAGACTCTGTCTCTCAAAAAAAAGAAGGAAATAAGGAAGGAAGGAGGGAAGGAAGGAAGAAAGAAAAAAGAAAAGACAGAAAAAGAAATAAAGAAACTCCAACTCCCCCCTGAGATTGGGTAGTGAACCTCAGGAGTCCTGGGGGACCTGGAGTAGGGAGGCTGGCAGGGTAGCTCACCCATGGCCTTTTCTTGAGCACCCCTGAATTATGGTTCTGGCTTTAGAGTCAGGCAGACCTGGCCACTAGTTCCAGACTTAAAATCTTCCCAGCAGTGTGACCTTGCACAAGTCCCTTATGCTCTGGGTTTTAATCTCCTTGTCTGTAAAATGGGGATAATAATCCCTCTCTCTGAGGGCTCCTGAGAGGGCTAAATGAGAGAACATATACAATCTAGCACATAGTAAGTGCTCAACAAATGACAGCCACCTTCATAGAGAACGTAGATTTAACTAGGATTTTTTTTTTTTATTATCCATGCTAAGGGGGTAGGGTGGGTGTCTCTTTAGCTCACCAGGTTGTCTGAGCAAGGGCATGAGTAAGAGGTTGTAGCAAAGCGGGCCAGTCCTTCTTTGTACACAAAAATCCTGAGAGGGTCACAGGATGTCACCAGCACATAAATCCGTAGGTCAAACTTGAACCCATCGATGATAAACGGCTGGGAAAAGAGAACAGAAGTCAGACAAGAATCAGAGGAGAAATTCACAATTCTCATTTGTAAATCATTATTTCCTGCTGTGTTTTCATGGAATCGGCTCCAATATTGTCTAATGTTATAGAGGCCAGGCTTGGCCAGACTCAGGGATGGGAAAAGGAGACAGAGGTTCTGTGACCCAACATGTGAACTTGTGGAAGTCACTAAACCACACTGTGCCTCAGTTTCCTGATCTGTCCAGTAGCACAAGTAACCACCTCCAAAAGACATCATGGAAATGAAACAAAATGAAATTAAAAACTCCTCTGATGGGCTGGGTCCTGTAGTTCACACCTGTAATCCTAGCCCTTTAGAAGGCCACCTAGCGCTTTAGGAGGATGGCTTGAGTCCAGGAGTTTGAGGTTGCAGTGAGCTATGAAGACACCATTGCACTCTAGCTTAGGTGACAGAGCAAGACCTTATCTCAAAAAAAAAAAAAAAAGTGCAAGTCTTTTGATGAAAGGTCATACAGTCACCATCCAGGGCTACTCTAGTTGCAATTCTACAAGAGTTCTCTCTGCAGTGTTCTCTTGGCCATTTCCCTTCCCCCTGTACCCATACTGCTAGAGGGCTCCCTCCCTCCATGGGTTATCCCACTGTGATCTCTGGCCTCCAGTCATCCAGAAGACCTGGTTACCTTGAACCTCTCCAGGACTTGCCCCCCAACCTGTCCCAAATAAGGTGGGGCTTCCGCAAACCCAAGGTGCCCTCCTAGCCTTTGTATGCATGTATAAGAGTGAAGGGGCCACCAGGTAGACCAGACTAAATGACAAGTGTGCATTGTCTTTGACTTTTGACAATAACAACAATAAAAAGAATACAAGGGTGAAAGACACTCTGATTCAGGCACCTAGGTCAGAAAGCTTGGTCTGACAAAATCCATGGCAGAAGATAGGCTCGGCTTCACCCCCACCTCTGCCCTCCATTTGCTCATTTCACATTCTGTCCAGTGGAGCCCAAGGTTGCTATGGGTGATAAATAAATAATCACAATGAGGAAGTACCTTTGAAATATACAGCTGACAGATCATATCCTCCCCTGGTTTGATTTCTTTCACCGTCCGGGTAATGAATATGCCTCTCCCTTGGCAGCCTGAATCTGGCTTACAAATATACGTCTTGTTTTTTTTCAACCTGCTGTAGGTCTGCAAATCTCCCCAGCTGCCAGAGCCGGGAGGGAATGAGACACATCTTTAGCCAGGGAACAATGAAAAGCAAAGCTAGCTTTTTATGAACAGAAAAAAAGAAGGAAGGAAAAGCTATCTAATGTGACAAAGTCCTGGTGTTGATAGTCACCCAGAGGTCTGGCAATGGGAGAGGGAAAGCAAAATCAGTGGAGGGTGTGGGCTTCAGAGGGAATTCAGGCCTGGATTTAAACCCAGGCAATGCCACTTATCAGCTGTGTGACTCTTTACGAGGACCTGACCTCTCTAGGCCTCAACTCCCTCATCTCTACAGTGAGAATACTAAGGACTTTCATCTCCTGTGGTGGTCAGGCACAGGACATGATATAGGCAAAGGGCTGATACATGCTGTGCACCCCATAAAGGTGGCCATGACCCAGGTCATTTGGCTTTTGGGGTTCATGTGCAGATTTAATGTTCTGGATCTGGCTTGACCCCTGATAAGTGAGAGGACCTTGAATCAATCAGTCTTTTACACCTTCAGTCGGAGTGTGGGAGAGAAAAGAATATCCTTGAACACACTTTGAAGAAAGTATTTTCAGAAGAAAGAAAGAAATCAAATTAATAAATGTTATATATCTCCCAGTATCACTAGGCATCTTATTTTGCATTGTTAACTTAAGAGAACCTTGCAACCATTGGAAAAGTCACTTAACTGCAATGCTCCTCGCTGGTCATGAAATCTAGAGGTCGTGTTGACATAATGGCAGACATACTTCTAAGTTGCTGCTGAGCCCTGAAAATTGTTCCAGACAAGCTAAGGAGAGGCTAAGAGCTCCCTGGAGCTCTTGGTTTGGGGACACACTGGGCGGAGAGTAGAGAGTAGGCTTCCTCTGATGCCCTTGCCACGTGAATATATTTCTGATGGTGACACTTCTCTGTCTCCTCCACCCTATGTCAACCACTGGATTGCCCCCAGGACATGTTCATGTCATCTCACATATATTCTGTTTCTTGGTGGCATGGTCCAGAGCATTTTACAGACCAGAAAAGGACATCCAGTTTTGAAATAGACAAGATGAGATCAGAGAAGGGGAAGGGCTGGCCACTACCCACAGCACTGTGTGGGACAAAGGCCAGGCATCCCTCCCTACTCCCAACCTGGGAGCTAACCACTACCTTGCTTTCTCCAGAGGTGCTTGTGATCCTTAAAAATTCAGAAATTTGAATCACTGGGTCAGCAAAACTCTCATCCCAATTGCAGATATAGGCTCCAAGGCACCCAGCCCCTAAATATCATCTAATTTTATAGGCAGAGCCTTGTGTTTTTTCGACCTTGGACACACTCTTTATCCTCCTGAACAGCAGCAGGAGAGATGGGAGATTGTTTGGGAAGGGAAAGTAACTGCCAGGGAATAGGGGCAAGAGGGAAATGTGAAGGGAGGCAGAAGTGGAGAAGGAAGCACAGGGGACACTCACTCAGCAGGGAGACACCAAGTCCTAGGGAAAAAGTGGAAATCTTTAGGGAACATCTTTAACATGCGGCTCATATTCCTGGCCAGCAAGTCCTTACGGCAGATTTCACTCATCCCAGGGAAGTGATTGATTTTCTGCAAAGGAAGCCAGAATTCTTTTGGTACTCGATACAGAGTACTATGAGGTCCCCTTGGGAAGCTGTTATGAAAATGCAGGCCCCACTGTGTAGATGTCATGCTGAGGACCATCACTGATCCAAATACCTGGTAACTTTTCATTTCCATCACCCGCTCCAGCGACACCAGGTAGTCCGTCCAGTAGAGAGTCCAATCATCACTTTCCCCTCCCTCTCTAAGGCCATACTGTTGAGCTGCCCTCCGCACTGCAGTGGGGTTGAAGAAAGAAAAAAGAAAAAGCCTGAGAAGTGGGGGAGGAGTGTGGAATGTGGAGGTCCTGTTTCTAGGTGCTCCCAGACCAAGTAAGAAAGAGAACTTATTTTCCCTGGCTGGGCGCACCACAGCCAAGGAAGGAACATGGAGAGTTGAAAGCTATTGAAGAGCATGGCCTATGCACAACGATCCTTACACTGGGATGAATGTTTTACCTGGCCCAGCCTCCCCTTGCCAGGAAGCAGGCCTCTGGCTTTCTTCCAAACCACTAAACTCTGAATGTTCAGGGAATATAAACTAATCCTTAACATCAGCCAGAGTCAGGCTTAATCAGTGAGATAAACTGACAAGGAAAAAATTATACATAATACATTGAGTATGTGTTTTTTAAAACTATATAATGTATTTCAAAGCCACGTATATGCTACCACATCCTTCTCCCCTCCCACTCCTAGTATTATAAAGAACATCGGGCGGTGCCTGTGGCTCAGTGAGTAGGGCGCTGGCCCCATATACTGAGGGTGGCAGGTTCAAACCTGGCCCTGGCCAACAAAAAAATAGCCAGCGTGTGGTGGGCACCTGTAGTCCCAGCTACTTGGGAGGCTGAGGCAAGAGAATCACCTAAGCCCAGGAGTTGGAGGTTGCTATGAGCTGCGACACCATGGCACTCTACCAAGAGCAGTAAAGTGAGACTCTGTCTCAAAAAAAAAAAAAGAGGCATTAATTTCAACAAGAGTTCAAGGGCCTAGCAAGAGAGAGGTACCTGCAGAAATGAGGAGAGGATGAGGACAGCCTAATGCATTTAAATTTGAATTTAAAATACACCACCAACAACCAGTGTGTTCTATAGTGCAAAATAGGTCTGTAGGTCAGGTTCAGTTCATGAACTACCAATTTGCAATTGCTCCAAAACAGAGCCACTGATTGCAGCAACTGCTGCCTCTCCCACAATCAGACCCCCAGACCACCACATGTAAGAATTACAGATAGGTGAAGTACACACCAGTGTGGTCAAAACCCATGATTCTTAGCATGAGAGTCCCAACTTCTCCAAATAGTTGATTGAGTTAGGAAAACTAAAGAACAGGATCTGGAGATCCCCCTCCCTTCATCCTCAAGGATACACAAGAACGACCCTCCCCAACCCTTTGGGGAAATCCAGCAGGTTCCCATCATAGATCCCTTGAATGCAGATGCTCACCGCTCTCATACCGGCAGGTAGATAAATTGATCACCAATCATCTGGAAAAGAGAAAAAGGAAAGCAGCAAGACAGAGACAGACACACTTGCCAGAATAAGTGACTGTACCCAGAAACATCTCACCCCACACTAACCCTGGTTTGCCAGTCCCTGTCGCTGAAGACACGAATCCAAAGGGGTACAGAGGGGCAGGAAACATGGAATCAGAGTAATATTACCCTGCCCACCAGGCATAAATTCTGTGCTGCAATTCCAGCTAGTTTTTCTTCCAGCAGCTTTATACTAACATCATTGTCTCAGTCCTTTTACTCCATTAGTCACCAGAGACAGAAACTCTTTGGCAAAAATACTTGTTTCCTCCCACTTCCGCCCATTAAAAGAAGCTGTGAAAAAAGTGTGAAAGGAGCAAGGCAACTGGAACGCACAAGATGCCATCAGATCCTAATAAGTCAGCCTGGTTCTGATCTATTTAAGGTGTACTAAATTCCCAGGGCAAAGAAGCACTTTCTTAAAACAAGCAAATCTTCTCTTCCCACCCACTTAACAAAAAAAGGTGTCCTAAACACAAATAAAATGAAAATTAGAACCAGGTGTGGTTGTAGATTACACTCATTATTTGACTCCATGAAGCACATCACCAAAAGTGGAATTTTTTAAATGAACCGAAAGTGCTGTGCTTTTGCTGGTGTCAGCACACAGTATCTTCTCTACTTTCTCATCGTCAGCTAGACACCCCCTCCCCACAGGTTCTCCTTCTTCTTACCAACATGGATCCCCACTCCCCATCTTTCAATCCTAACCTGTTTTTCTTCCTCTTCTTCTTCTTCTCTTGCTTCTGGGCAAAATTCTGAAGCCCCTTTTGCGTCCCAGCGTTCTCTCTCCCAAAATCCAGTGTGATGATTTCTTCTGGATCTTCTGTCAAACTGTCCTCTCTCTCTTCAGAGCCTGCCCCTTCTTTGCTTTCCAAAGTCACGTCTGGTAGCATCTTCCTGGCCTGGGAGGAGGCTCTAGGCAAAAACCAGCTCCCTCCCTGGAAAGAGGACAGAAGGAGCAGCAGTTACATAGATCTCCCTGCAGGGGGACCCCTTCCCTTGTTCATGTGGGTGGTGAACCAGGGTTCTAAGAGACGACAACAGGTTGCAGTTTATAAAATGCTGCCCCACCTCTGTGATGGGTGCCAAGCTCAGTCAGATAGCTGACTCTATCTTTTGCCATTGACTCTGACCTTAGGGACTCACTCAGCCAACCAACTGTGGCCTTGGTTTTTCCCTCTTGAGGTTTCCAGGAGCAGGCTGAGATGTTGTGCATGGCACCACCTGGTAAACAATCTTATTATTAAAGTGAGTGAGTGTCTGGAGACAGCCATAGGACCAAGCCCCAAACCTTCCTTGCAGAGAAAGTCACAAGGGGGTGTGGGTGCCTTGAGGAGGTCTGTTAACTGTTTCAGCACTTCACAGAACTTCCCACAAGGCAATCTCAAGGCAATCTGAAAGTGAACACAACTGTTGCTCATGGAGTACATGCCTGATTTGGAGCTGATGAAACAATAAGCTTCCAGCCCAGGGCCAGATGCAGACCTTCAGAGACCCCCAACTACAGAAAAGGCTAACATTCCTCCCCCACCATCCATTCCAAAATAAAAACAAGGTCACATGGTAAAATCCATATCACAAAGTCCAGCAAAGTTTTCATCCTGCCTGGTCCCATGAGACTTCTTTCATGTTTGCTCAAAATTTCAGATATCAAATATCTTTCAGTGGATTTGAGTGCCTCTTAGCAACTGCTGCTGCTTAGGAACATGCTAGTGTCCCTTTGGGTAACCCAGAACTGCCAGGCCCAGCTAGCTGACACATGTTTCCTCATAGCCAAGGCTCCTATGACCATAAAGCCAATTTTCTGGTGTTCTCCATTACTCTCCCCACCTCTAAAACTCCACAAGCATCCTCAGCATTTCAACCTCTCTCCCTTGATACCCATCATCCTCTTGATACTTGCCATCTGTTCTTCCCTCACAAATTCTTGGGCTTTTAAAAAAATTAATAATATATTTGTTATAATTTATTATTATTGGAATGCTGTAACATTAAAGAAGACTTAGAACATGGGGTGGTGGGGAATTACCTGTAGCTTTCCTATTCTAGCAACACTAAAGTGTGTGTATTTGCTTTTATTCTTAATTCTTTTTTTTTTTTTTTTTTTTTTTGCAGTTTTTGATGGGGGCCGGGTTTGAATCCAGCACCTCCAGTATATGGGGCCAGCACCCTACTTCTTTGAGCCACAGGCGCCACTCCTATTCTTAATTCCTAAGCATAATTATTCATATATGGTTGTGATCACCTTTTTTTTTTTGAGACAGAGTGTCACTATATGTTGCCCTCGGTAGAGTGCTGTGGCATCACAGCTCACAGCAACCTCAGACTCTTGGGCTTAAGAAATTCTCTTGCCTCAGCTCCCAAGTGCGCCTGCCACAAGGTCCCGCTATTTTTTTTTTTTTTTTTGGTAGTTGTCATTGTTGTTTAGCAGGCTCCAGGCTGGGTTCAAACCCACCAGCCCCGGTGTATGTGGTCGGCGCCCTAACCACTGAGCTGCAGGCGCCAAGCCATAATCACCTTTCTATCTACTTTTTGCCCACTTAATTTCATATCATATATCTTTATCTGTGGTAAACTTTACACATTTCTAGTTTTTTTTTTTTGTTTTTTTTTGTTTGTTTGTTTTTGGCCGGGGCTAGGTTTGAACCTGCCACCTCCAGCATATGGGGCCAGCACCCTACTCCTTTGAGCCACGGGCGCTGCCCATGTTTGTAGTTTTTAATAGCTGTGTAGCATCCCATGGAAGGAATATGCCTGAATTTAACCAACCATTGGAAATGGTTACTTTGTTTTGCCATTACATAAATAGCTCTAAAAGGTACACTTTCATTTAGAGAGGGTCTTTGATTCCCTTGGGGTTATCTTCTTAAGCTAATATCCTGAAATTACAGGATATAGGACTACAAGGTTAATGAATATGCAAATTACATAGCTTCTGGTATATTTATAAAGTCACCATGTTGCTTCCCAGAAGGTTTCAAACAATTTGGACTACTACCAGCAATATGCAACTATAGCAAACTCACCAGAGCTACACGCTCTCTTGGGAATCACCTCAACTTTGTATACAAACTTGCTAATTCTATGCAGCTTTAATACTCTATGGCCCTGTCTTCAACATTACTGTACTCTTCCACTTCTCCCTGCCCCTTTCCCAAACCAAATCGTGGTGTGGAGCTCTCTAACTACGGAAGCTATCTATGAGTGATTTAATAATAAGCTCTTATGGGGAAATAGTTCTTGAGACTTGTCACAGAATTTGCATATGCACGTTGTCATTGAATGTTCACAACCACCTGAGAGGGACAGCAGAATTGCCAACTCAGACAAGGATTGCCACTTGTTTCTCTCTTGCTGAAGAGGGCTGCCACGTACACCCAAGTTTCCTTTTAGTGACACCAGAGCAGAAGAAGAAAGAGTCATACTCAGTGCAACTGACAGATAAAACCTGGGCCTTGCGAGTCAGTTTTTCTCAGTGAACGGACACGGGCACGTACTTGGCAAAGTTCAAGAGAACTGTGAAGTCTTGACCTTGAGCTGCTCCCTTCATTGCAGGTAAATGACCAGCTCCACTCCCCTAGCACTCCACAACGGCTCCTATTTACCAAGCCCTCAAGGAGGAGTGGCTCCGTTTACCTAAAGGTTAATGTTAACTTGGGGAGAGAAAACTGACCCTGAATAGAACCTCTGGGGTTGCAGATTGTCTTTGCCCTTTTTCAAGTCCTTGCCCAAGTGGTAAGAACAAGTCATGGCTGCTTATATTTGTCTGCCTCTAAGAAAAGATCCCCCCAGCCAAAAAAAACCCCAAAGGTCAAGGTCTGTTTATTCTTGCATGAGAGAGCCTCAGGCACAGACAGCAAGGAGCTGAGCCCACACACTTTTAGGGGAACTGGTTAACCATGGCATTCTTGCCTACATTCCCCCATATGCTAGGCTACCGATGACACGAGAGCCCCCTGGATAGCCCCTAAGGCTGGGACAAGATGGCAGACAACCATCTTTGCCACATGTCCACATGTGACTATTTTTGCTTTGTCTGTGGTCCCTTTGCTTTCTCTTTCCCCAGCTTTTTCCTCCCTAGTTAATCCCCAAGGCTGAATCTGGCTGAGTTCTCCTCCAGGGATCCTTCTAAGGTTGCCTACTGGGAACATGCATCATGAGTCCAGCATGCAGAAATGTTCATGTGTTTCACAATAGTGTACGGTTATTGTGAGAGTTCTTTAATAGAAGTAGTTGCTAATAACTAGAAAATGCAGATTTCTCATAAAAATCCAGATTTCCATTTCTTTTGGCAAAGTAAGTCTCCATTCCTTAATTCCAGCAATCAACCAGAGCTAAGTAATGTCTCCTTTAGACAGTTGATGGCCTGTCCCAAAGCCTTATTGGAGCCAAGTAACAGTTCCTTGTGCTGTTATTTTTCTTATAGAAGCATTAAGAGAGAACTGACATTCTCTTAAACCCACCCCACTTCTCTCATTTAAGCTATACGCCTGACCACATAGACATCACTGGTTCTGCTCCAATGTTATCTCCAGGCTCTGAAGCTGTCTCAAGTTAGAACAAAAACTGCCAAATAAAAAGCATTTTAATCCCTAATTTTCAGAACAAGAATGAGATCTGCCGTTTGATACCTATAGCTCACCGGCTAGAGCACCAGCCACATACATTGGGCTGGTGGTTCAAACCCAGCCCGGGCCTGCCAAACAACAATGACACCTACAACCAAAAAATAGCTGGGCATTGTGGAGGGCACCTGTAGTTCCAGCTACTTGGGATGCTGAGGCAAGGGACTCGCTTAAGCCCAAGAATTTGAGGTTGCTGTGAGCTGTGACACCACAGCATTCTACTGAGGATGACATAGTGAGACTATGTCTTGAAAAAAAAAAGAATTAGATCTGACCCACTTGAAATCAGGGACCCCCTCAGTCTTTTCAGATGAGGGCCTTATTTGGTCCAACAGACTTCTCTTTTTTTTTGAGACAGAGCCTCAAGCTGTCCCCCTGGGTAGAGTGCCGTGGCATTACAGCTCACAGCAACCTCCAACTCCTGGGCTCAAGCGAGTCTCCTGCCTCTGCCTCCCAAGTAGCTGGGACCACAGGTGCCCGCCACAAAGTCCGGCTATTTTTTGGTTGCGCCGTCATTGTTGTTTTGGCGGGTCCAGGCTGGGGATTTGAACCTGCCACCTTAGGTGTACGTGGCTGGTGCCTTAGCGGTTGAGCTATAGGCGCCAAGCCCCAACAGACTTCTCTTACCTAGTCTTAGCTCCCCTAGGAGTTCTCACCTACTGTCCTGCTCAACAATTTGGCTAGTTCCAACCGAAAAGCAGTTTTGTAGGCTTGAGGAATAAGAGGAGGAGGAGAGGCAAAAGACACAAAGGACAAGGTCTACAGAGAAAACAAAAGTGTGACAGAGCTGCTGGTGGCATCCCAAGATACATATGTGTCCCAGAGGGCCTCTGAAGTCAGCAGAGATGATTTAAGTCACTTGTTAAAAGTGAGCTATAGTGCAGTGGCTAAGAAGGAAGATTCTGGAATCTCTGCCTGGATTTAAATCCTAGCTTTGCCACTTCCTAGTTGTCTGACCTCTGGCCGTTTTATTTAACCTTCTCCTACTTTAGTTTCCTCATCTGTAAAGTGTAAAATGGGATAAATGAGTCCATACATTTGACTTACTACAACACAAAGTTCTTAGAACTATACTTGGCACATAGCAGGTGCTTACATTATCAACAGTGGACCTTGGACTCGAACTCCTTGATGGAAGAGGCTGTATCTGTATATTCTCAGCTCCTAACTCTGCTTTTCTGGCATATAGCATGTACTCATAAGTTTCTTTCTTTTTTTTTGACCGAGTCTCACTTTGTTGCCCCAGTAGAGTGCTGTGGTATCACATCTCACAGCAATCTCAAACTCTTGGGCTCAAATGATCCTCTTATCTCAGCCTTCCAAGTAGCTGGGACTATAGGCATGAGACACCACACCCAGCTAGTTTTTAGAGACGAGGTCATGCTCTGGATCAGGCTTGAGGTCAGCCTCAGCCTCCCAGAGTGCTAGGATCACAGGTGTGAGTCACTGCACCTGGCTTTCATATGTTTCTTGAATTAATGGACTAGAAAAATGACTAAATGCATGAACTAATTTAGCTTCTCCAAGGTTCATTTTCCTTAGCTATATAATAGAAGTGGTGTTGTGAGCATTAAGTAAGTAACATTTGTTACTTACATTGTTAAAGCATCAACCTTGGCTCTTTTTCATATAAGGCACTTAAATCACTTAGTTTCAGTCACTTACAACAACAGCTACTATTTACAACCCACTTATCAGATAACAGGCATTATACTAATGCATTTATATACTCAATATCTCTCTTTCCTCTATTATGGATGAGAGGATTGAGGCAGAGAGGTTAAGGTAAGAGGCACAGCTCAGATTAGAAGTCATGTCTGTCTTATTGCAACCCCTGTGTTCCACACTCTTGCTCACTGCCCTTTTCTCTCTGCTGATCATTCATAAATGGTGTGAACATAAAGAAAGGTAATCCATCTCCTAAATCCCAGAACCAGTCTTGGTGACTTCAGACTCTTAGGAATCAGTCAGTCCATTAGGTGTAGTGGCTCACACCTGTAATCCCAGCACTTTGGGAAGCTAAGGTGGGAGGATCTCTTGAGCCCAGTTCAAGACCAGCCTGGACAACATAGCAAGACCCTGACTCTACAAAAAATTTAAAAATCAGCTGGGTATGGTGGTACACACCTGTAGTTCTAACTATTCAGGAGGCTAAGGTAGGAGGATCACTTCAGCTCAGGAGTTTGAGGTTGCAGTGAGCTATGGTTGAGTCACTGCACTCCAGCCTGGTGACAGAGTGCGACCCTATCTGGAAATAAACAAACAACAACAAAAAACTAGGAGGCGCCTGTGGCTCAATGATTAGGGTGCTGGTCCCATATACTGAGGGTTGTGGGTTCAAACACAGCCCCGGCCAAACTACAACAAAAAAATAGCCAGGAGTTGTGGCAGGTACCTGTAGTCTCAGCTTCTCAGGAGGCTGAGGCAAGAGAATCACCTAAGACCAAGAGCTGGAGGTTGCTGGGTTGCTATGAGCTGTGACGCCATGGCACTCTACCGAGGGTGACAAAGTGAGACTCTGTCTCAAAAAAAAAGAACGAAAATCCAGAATCAGTTGGCCTCACATCATTTTCATTAAAATCAACTGCTTCTAAATTCCCATCTCCAACTAGGGGCTTGGATCGCCCCAAACTTGCCGTAACTTGGGAACAGCTCTATTGTCCTTACTTTGTCTTTACCTTCTTCCTTTCCCTCCTTTGTCCCAATGTCCACATTACACCAGGGCTGTTGTGCAGGGTAGACTTAGAACATTTTCTAAGCCCTTATAGAATTCCTGAATATTAAAACTGGGAAGAATCTTGAAGAATGTCTAATTCAACCTGTTGACTTTTCAGAGGGGGTTTTGAATACCCACAACCACCACTCTTAGTCTGGGCCAGGAAAGGGACTGTACATAGCCAGAGAGTATGTTGTTAGAGCCACCACCAAATCCTGGGCTTCCTGATCCCCTAATATCTTTCATTTTTGCCAGGTTAGTGGGCAAGCAAAGTGGACTAAGTACTTTGGAGAGTTAAAAGAAGAGACTAGAGTTGCGCTACCAATGTAACACACACATATTAAATAGCATCTTCAGTTTTTCTTAAGGACACAAGAAACATTCAGTTCATCCTTCCAAATAGAATAGTTAAGACAGCGAAAAAACACTGATGTTTCCTTCTTTTTTGGTTTGGGGTTTAATCTTGAGATCTTCCAAGCCAGAGGCTGTCAATCAAATCCTGATTAGACAGTATGAGAATTCCCTACCTTTGCCACCAGGGGGAGAGAATGAGCACAGGGATCGCTCCGGGGAAACACACTGCCCCCTTCAGGAAAAACTCAGAGGAGGGTCCATGTCTTATTTCCATTTCTGAAGGACAATATATGTTAAGTATTCTTTTTTCCCCCTGAAGTGTTGCAGAGAGTAGAAAATGTGTGGTGCTTTCTTTTGCAAGACAATGATATGGATTATAAATTATAGGAAAGAATAATTTGGTGATTAAGATAAGGACTACAAAGAAACATAGTACAAGTTGTAGTCAACGTTTTTCATCCCTGACTTTCACTGCCAGGATTTTTTTTTTTTTTTTTTTTTTTTTTTTGCAGTTTTTGGCCAGGGTCAGGTTTGAACCCACCACCCCCGGTATATGGGGCCGGCGCCTTACTCCTTGAGCCACAGGCACTGCCCCACTGCCAGGATTTTTCATCCAGTTCATAGGAATACATAAAGCACCAGAGAGCTGTCCTATTGTGTTTGCCTGTAGCATCCTTCTTTTTTGCCAGATAATAGGTATCCTTTACGCACTCCTTTTCATCTTCTGCTCCTCATTTCCCTACTGGAAGCATCCTTCTGAAGGCCTCCAGTGGTTAGGACTTGGAAAATGTCAAAGTGAATGAGACAATAAAAGATGTGGGAGTTAGATGTCTGGATCATGTTTTCAGTTTTGCCCTTCTGACATAAGAAGCCAGAAGAAGCCAAGCAATTATTTCCTCTCCCATTCGTATCTTCCTGTGATTATGAGACCACCAGGAAGAAAAAAGCTTCACTTTTAGAAAAGTTCTTTGAGCTTTGATTCAACCAGGATAAAATAAGATGCTTTGTAAAGTCTTTTGGCTTTTCATTTTAGTCATCCTTGAAATTTCAGCCTAGAGCCTGACATGGTCCTTAGCAAAATATAGACTAACGAGGGAGGGGTAGGGGCACCCAACTGCTTAAGGGCTTTGCCAATAAGAAGTGCTGGGAATGACTGGCCACATTTAGTGGGAGCAATAAGAATCTTGCTGACTCAGATGCCATCTGTCATTCTGCTAGAAATTGAGGAATTCTGCAATATTGGAAGATGTGATTTTCAAGTTGGGCTCATGCCTAGCCATTTTCTCCAAAATACTCAGAGCATCACTAGCAAAGGCAAATGGATCTGGATCCAAATCTCACTTCTACTAATTTCCAAATTAGTGACCGTCAGTACCTTAGTTTCCTCATAAGTAAAATGGTGATGATAATATTTATCTCAGGAAGATTATTTAAAAATTAAACGGGTTAATATTTCTAATGTTCTGAAAGCAGTGCTTTGTTCAAAGATAAGGGCTATACTGTAAAATGAAAATATAATGATATGCTCAGTGTGAATATTTAATAACTTTTTTGAGTGCCTGGCACATACGGTGCTTAGTAACACCAGCTCCCTTCCCACTTCACCCTCAAATGTAAGCGATATTTTTCCTAGGGTTCAAATCCCACAAAGGAGAACTTTTCCCAAACTTTCAGGAGTGGTGAGAAATAACAACTGAGGAAGAGAAAGAAAATGTCGATGGAAAAAATATAGGAGCATCAGCAGAGGGCTATGCCATCCATGAAGAATGGCAAGTGTCTATCTGGAAGATTTTCCAGACAAGGAAGAAAAATGATGACAAGAAGGACTCAACAAAGGGGAAGAAGGAGGTGAATAGAGAGTCCCAGGGATCCCTGCTATCTAAGGGACAGCTCCTTTGTGGCACTGGGTCTAGGAAATCAGGGGAAGGGCAGGATCTGAGCGTTAACAAGAGGGACTGAGAAGAGAAAAGCCCCAGAGCCGAGGGGCCGCAAGGATGAGGGGTTACGCAGTAGAAAGCGACCAAGGAGGGCAAAGGAATAGCCTGGGGGATCTGGGCGCCCAGGGGGGGGATGGATGTGTGTTCGGCCAGGTTTTCAGTGGGGAGGCAGCAGGAGGCTGCGGTCGGTAACCAGCACCGGCCTTCGGGGCGCTCTTACCCGCGGTTCCTACTCCCCCGTCTCGCCCCTGCTCTGCCGCCTGAATCTCTCGCAGCTACATCTGCGGGCCCCTCCTCGCAAGATTAAGGAGACACACTCCCATAGGCTGCCAGACAAGTCCAAGCCCAACCCGCGCTCCTCCTAACTTCGATCTGCCCGGCCCTCATATTTGCATATGGAGGCTTCTAGGCCTTCGATTGGCCCCGGCAGGGCTGCCATGCCCCCTCCCTCCCGACCCCAATTAACCGCCCCAGAGCTCGGTGAGGGACGCGCCCATGGTTGTCCTGGGAGACGCGCGGGACGCCCTAGCTGCCGCGAGGACCCACCGCTCACATTCCGCGAGTTCCGGGCCCGCCTCGCCCGCCCCACGCGGAGCAAGCTGAGCTGTAGCCTTGGTCCAACTCCGCCGCGCCGTCGGGGCGCTGTGTGCAGGCGCAGCTAGAATTTGGGGCCCCCAAGTGCCAGCTGTGCGGGGCTGCGGTGAGGGAGAGGAAACTTGAACTTAGACCCTGGAGGAGGTAAATGTTCAAAACCAGAATCTGGAGGCGTCTTGAGAGAGCTTCGGATTGAGACTCAAGTCAGGATCTCAGGCATATTATTGCCTGTGTAACCTTACCTTTTTTTTTTTTTTTTTAATTTTGCTTTCAATTGTCTTTCAGTTGTCTTAGTTTGAAAGTTTGTCTGTTTGTTTTGAGACAGAGTCTCACGTTGTCGCCCTCGGTAGAGTGCTGTGCTGTCACATTTCGCAGCAATCTCAAACTCTTGGGCTTAAGCGATTCTCTTGCCTCAGCCTCCCAAGTGGCTGGGACTACAGGCACCTGCCACAACGCCCGGCTATTTTTTGGTTGGAGTTGTCATTGTTCGGCAGGCCCGAGCTGGATTCGAACCCTCCAGCTCCTGTGTATGTGGCTGGCTCTCCAGCCTCTGAGCTACAGGCGCTGAGCCAGTTTTTTATTTTATTTATTTATTTATTTAGACAGAGTCTCACTTTGTGGCCCTCGGTAGAGTGCGGTGGCAACATAGCTCACAGCAGCCTCCAACTCTTGGGCTGAAGTGGTTCTCTTGTCTCAGCCTCCCAAGTTGCTGAGACTACAGCGCCTGCCACAACGCCTGCATTTTTTTTTTTTGTAGAGACAGAATCTCACTCTGGCTCAGACCTGGTCTTGAACCTCTGAGCTCAGGGCAATCCACCCGCCTCGGCCTCCCAGGATTACAAATGTGAGCCACCTTTTAACAGTAAAATGGGTAATAACCAAACAGGCTTTTTGCATCGTGACCTTACCTCCAAACTGTGAAGAGTCAAGGCCTCCACTAACTGGAGACCTTCCAGATCGACTGAAAAGCCAGTGAGACTTAAGGGACCAGAGGTCTTAGCATCTAGCAGCAACCACTTGACTGTCCTTGGGTGGGGAGTCTATGATAATGAAGAACCTCTAACAGTGACTGATTCAAGTAATTGTATTCCTTCCATTTCCACCTGTCTGTGCCAGAATCCTGCCTGTGAGGAATTGGCGATCAGTAAAGCTGTTTCTGCCAGGGTTTATTCAGGATTTTGTGAAAGATCAAAGAATCCGTTTTAAGTTCCTAAGCCATAGTGTTTCTAGAAGACCTGCTCATAAATTGAGCTAAAGACTTTGTGTTGCTTATCTCACTTCTTTCTTTAGAATTTTCCAGATACTTAATTTGAGGCAACTAAATGTAGCTGCTCCTGTGAAAAGGGATTCTTTAGTCTCAAGAGTGAAACAATGGACGGCACCTGTGGCTCAAAGGAGTAGGGCACCGGCCCCATATACCCGAGGTGACGGTTTCAAACCTGGCCCTGGCCAAAAAAAAAAAAAAAAAAAAAAAAAAAAAGAGTAAGACAATGAACCATTTGTTACTGTCTACTGAGGGTGGAGCCTTTGCCAGGCACTTGAGGGGTGACACGTAAGGGGAGGCACACAGTCCCTCCTCAGGAAACTAATGGAAGAGACAGGATTCACCTCTCTGAAGTGGTGCCTGTTGGAGTTAATCCAGGGAAGTTTCCTGGAGGATTTTAGCAGATTCAATGGGAACATTGTGCCCGTGAGTATACCTAGGGTTTCAATGTGTGCTGCGATTTGGTATTGGGGTGATGGTGGGTAAAATGACCAAAAGGAGAAAAAGAAAAAAAACCCCAGCAGGATACTATAAAAACTGCTTCACAGTGAAAACATTTGAGCTACAGCAGATGCAGAAAGAAATCTTTTGGTTTTTTTTTTTTTTTTTTGAGATAGTCTCACTATGTCACCCTCAGTAGAGTGCGGTGATGTCACAGCTCACAGCAATCTCCAGTTCTTGGGCTTAGGTGATTCTCTTGCCTCAGCCTCCTAAGTAGCTGGGACTACAGGCACCTGCCACAATGCTTTTAATTTTTGATTAAAATTACTTGTTATTGTATAAGATTTACTTTATAATAACTTTGTAT